GCGGTGACTGAGGTCGACACGGGGCTGCCTGGGTTATATGGCGACTGATCTAGACACGGGGCTGCCTGGGTCATATGGCGACTGAGCCAGACACGGGGCTGCCTGGGTCATATAGCGACTGAGCCAGACACGGGGCTGTCTTGGTCATGTGGCGACTGAGCCAGACACGGGGCTGTCTAGGACATGCGGTGACTGAGGTCGACACGGAGCCTGCGTGCTCCTTCGAATGTTGGTCCGACTCCGCCACTGGTCAGGGCTGGTCGTGTGGGCTGCCAATGTGAGCGGTGCGCGGCGGAGACGGGCGGTCGGTAGATTTCTACAGTGATTTCTTCAGCAGTCCTTCCAGCGGCGCGGTGTGGAACAAACCGCGCCGCTGGAAGGACTGCAAATGATCTGCACTCGTGTTTTGCAACTGAAGAAACAAACGAATGAAACGAATGAAGTCTGTTTATCTCGCCTTGCGACAGCATTGAAACAAGTGTTGTCAAAATGCCTGGTTATTCGCCAACCAGAGCCAAAACGTCGGTGTGTACGGGGAGCGACCTTCAACAAATTATAAAACTAAGTGCTAGTTTGCTATCTGAGATGAGCCAGCTCACAAACACGTTTGGCTCTCCGGCCACGACCCGCTGCCGACCTCCGTGACCTTGCCCTTGCGGCAACCGGATCGAACCGGAACGGTGGGTCCGAAGTTCTTCAGACACGGGTCCAGTTCGCACACCGAGCTGCCGGGAACCGCAGGAACCGTGAATAATGGTGATCATGGAGCGATTCGTGATTAGTATAATGGTGATCATGAAGCGGTTCGTCAGTAGTATAATGGTGATCATGGAGCGATTCGTGATTAGTATAATGGTGATCACGGAGCGATTCGTGATTAGTATAATGGTGATCATGGTGCGATTCGTGATTAGTATAATGGTGATCATGGAACGATTCGTGATTAGTATAATGGTGATCATGGTGCAATTCGTGGTAAGCATAATGGTGATCATGGCGCGATTCGTGATTAGCCGCCGCAGCCCCTGAGCTTTGTCGCCAGCGAAAGCAGCCATCCTACGGAGGATGGGGACAAGCATTGCATTCACCGACACCAACTGGTGACTAGTCGTCCCAGCGGCGCAACAACATGTGCGTCCTGATAACCATGCACGCACACAGAGGTGGCTGCAGTCCTGACGGTTAGCTGTAGGTGCTGGTCAGTTAATTAGCTGTAGGTGCCGGTCAGTAAGTTAGCTGTAGGTGCCGGTTAGTTAGTTAGCTGTAGGTGCTAGTTAGTTAGCTGTAGGTGATGGTCAGTTAGCTAGCTGTAGGTGCTGGTCAGTTAGTTAGCTGTAGGTGCTGGCCAGTAAGTTAGCTGTAGGTACTGGTCAGTCAGTTAGCTGTAGGTGCTGGTCAGTTAGTTAGCTGTAGGTGCTGGTCAGTTAGTTAGCTGTAGGTGCTGGTCAGTTAGTTAGCTGTAGGTGCCGGTCAGTAGTTACTGTAGGTGCCGGTCAGTTAGTTAGCTGTAGGTGCTGGTTAGTTTCGTTAGCTGTAGGTTGCTGGTTAGTTAGTTAGCTGTAGGTGATGGTTAGTTAGTTAGCTGTAGTGCTGACGGCAGGTTATCACTCAAATTTTCTAGGAAGCGAATCAGCGCTGTGTGATTATTCCCTTTAACTGACGTCATAAGCGGGGCCACGATTTGCCTGCTGTTTGCAGCGCATCCACTTTCCGAGGGCATCTCCCATCGACAACAACTGCACCGCAAAACCTCCCACGACGACGGCGCATCCCCCGCAAACCTCCGCCACCCGTCACTGGATTCGCCTCACCCCCCCCCCCCCCCCCCCCCGCCTACGCACCCTTCACCAGCCAAGATCCCAACAAGCACCAGACGAGACCAACACAGGTCCACACAGAAGGGCACGGAGTGAACCCCGCCGTCGCCAGGTCGCCCCGGAGCGCCCCGCGGGAGCGCGTCCCGAGCCTCACCCGAACATGCTGGTCTCACAGTTCGCGTCTTGCCGCCAGCGGCCGTTGCAGTGAATGGCGGAGCACACGCCTTTGGTGTGCTTGCTGTCGTCCACGTGCATCCAGCGCGTCATTGTCCAGGCGTCGCAGTCGTCCCAGGTCCAGGCGTCAGTCGGGTGCGCCCGCGCAGCGCCGATCCAGGCGTGACGGTTTATCCGTTTGCGGAAGTCGGTGCCACGGCGGAACGCAAGCGCTGCCGGCAGCAGGGAGGTCAGGAATCCTGCTGCTGGGGAGGAGAGAAGTCAGAGGCCCTGCTGCTGGGGAGGAGGCAGGTCAGGAGGCCTGCCGCTGGAGAGGAGGCAGGTCAGGAGCCCTGCTGCTGGGAAGAAGGCAGATCAGAGGCCCTGCTGCTGGGGAGGAGGCAGGTCAGGGGGCCTGCTGCTAGGAAGGAGGGTGCTAGCGCGCTAGGTCTGTGGTGGGTGCAGAGTCAACGCACGAGGTGTCGGCAATCTGACGGGCGGGACGACGCGTCGCAGCTGGTGCAAACTTTCGGAAAGAATCATGCCTTCACCATTGTTGCACAAAATCGTCGCTTTCTAGAATACACGCTAAACTCTTGACATCTGGAATGTCACTTTCGTTACCTGGTAAAGGCACCGGCTATCGCTAGGTCCTGCTTCTGTTCTGCGCTCTGTTCTACGCTCTGTTCTCCGCAACACAACTCTTCTCTCTTTACTTTCGTTATTACTCGCGTATCCATATTAGCAGCAAAGTCGTCTGCGCGTGAGGCAGCGTGCATTATTGCTCTTTTGTCTTGAACTCAGTGGCGACGAGACTATCTTGTGTCAAGCAATGAAAACATGAAAACAAGAAAAAACAATTGACAGCGCCGTCCATTAAACGAACTTGACAAGATCCGGGCTGCCGAAGCGCTATGAGGATATCTGACATGTTTATAAAGATTGTAAATATATATTAACAATGCCTTGTTTGGCCAGGATGACGACAATAGCCATGCGCTTGCCACCAAAGCCGCAAAACGCCCTCCGCTGCGCGCTTCAGCCGCAGGCCCCCAAACCGTACTAGCGATGAGTCCGTTCTCATCCTGGCTTCTGGATGCTGGCCAGGTGGCCGCCGTCTCTCTGACAGACAGAGGCGGCCGCCTTCCGCGACAACCGCCGGCGTACCAGACGGTAACAGTGTCCTTCAAACGGGACCCAGCCCGACGGACAGGTGGCTGCCGGCAGGGCAAGAGGTCATCAGAGGTCAGAGGTCATCTGTCTACCGCGGCCAGGCATGGCTGCTCGTGGTACATGTGCACCATGTAGCTTGAGACACATCGGCGGCTAGTTGTTTGGATTAAAGCCCTTTCAACCAAAAATGATAATTTCAAGGCAGTGGGATTAAGGACATTGGTTAACGATGAGGCAGGGTTGCGTACCCCTGGGGGCCAATCGCAGAGCTTTAACCGGCGCATGTGCGCTGCGTACCCGGTCGGGGTCCCCATTCCCACGGGGACTCTCGGCCCACTCGTGACCGACGCATGCAGCCTGCCCCGGACAAGCGGGGTGTCGCGAGTATGCAGGATGCAGCGAGATAGAGGATGAGACGGACGGATAATGTCGGTGACTGTGCCGCTTTTTCGGCGTTGCCGGCACCCCGGCCCGAGGCCATTCCACTCACGCTTGCAGGCGGGGATCTCACAGAGTCCGGGCAGCTGGTCCACGTCGCACCGGTAGGGGGCGCCACTCACCCGACCGCTGCCATCTGCGGCGAAGCGTCCACGGCAGGTGACGCCGGTCAGAGCGGGCGGCTGCGAATGCCAGTAACCTCCTCTCCGGCGGGTTATTATGGTGTCAGAGGTCATGATGTTAGGGGTTAGGCTGTCAGAGGTCATGGGCGTCGCGGCCTACGTATCTCACTGATCCCATCCCTTATCTCTGACACCATGATCTCTGACACCCTGACCCCTGACACCGTGACCTCTGACACCTTGGCCGCTGACACGATGACCTCTGACACCCTGACCCGTGACGCCATGACCTCTGACACCCTGACCCCTGACATCATGACCTCTGACACCTTGACTCAAACACCATGACCTCTGACACCCTGACCCCTGGCATCATGACCTCTGACACCCTGACCCCAGACCCGTCTTCTCCAGTTCCCCGACCTCTCGTCCCTGCTGTCGTGGCTACTGCTGCGTCGTACCCCCGCGCAGTCGGTTTTGGAAGAGGGGGACGGCTCCGCATCTGCCTCCCAGTAAGTGAAGGCAGAGGTCCACTGCTTGCGCTGCCCGGTTCCGCTCAGCACGACGCCGCCCGACCGGCGGCCGTAGTCGATCCACATTGGCAGCGAGCCGGCGGCGACTGCGGCACCGGAGCGGCAATCAGCGGCGCGGGGGCGACAGTAAAAGGCGCAGGGGTGACAGTCAACGGCGCAGGGGCAACATCGACGTTGCAAACACCACGGCTCTTAGTAAGCACGAAATGAGGCATGGCGTTCATTTCATGGCGAAGGTTCATCATCGTCGGCAAGCGCTCCACCGAGCGCGCCCAACTCCAGCCCACGGCAATGCTCCGACCCAACCAGCTCATTCCTCGGGACTAATGCCAGCGGTCGTGACGTCATCAAGCGCCGACACGTGGTCATGACGTCATCAAGCGCCGGCGCATGGTCGCGCTCCCGTGTAGCTCACAAACGGCTACGTCGTTGTTCTCGATAGAGCGCAGCACCGCCACTGTGGCCTGCGGGTGGCGGCTGGCGCACTGTCTTTCCACACGGGCGAACGTGTCGGGCGCGGTGAATCCACCATAGCAGCGGCTGTCGCTGCGTCGCCAGCCGGGTGGACAGCGCAGCCCGTCTGTGGACGCACGGTGCCGAAAGAGTGTCACTGGGCCGATGTGTAGCCTCCGCCGTGCGTGCCATGCACGGCGTGCCATGCACGTGCGTGCCATGCACGGCGTGTCATGCACATGCGTGTCATGCACGGCGGAGAACTGCCGGGAAGTACACGCACGCGGCAGACGACGCAGCAACACTGCGCAGCAAGACTGCACAACAAGACGGCATAGCAAGGCGGCATAGCAAGACCGCGACCAAGACTGCACAGCAAGACTGCACAGTAAGACGGCATAGCAAGACTGAAACCAAGACCGCGCAGCAAGACTACACGGTGGGACGACATAGCAAGACCGCACAGTGGGTCGGCATAACAGGTCTGCACAGCAGAACTGCACAACAAGACTGCACAGCATGACCGCGCGGCAGAACTCTACGGCAGAACCCCTCAGCAGGATCCGCAGTGAGACTTCTCAGTGGTATCTGTTCGGCTGTTAATGGGAACATTTCACATGTGAAGATGATGAAACAAGCATCGGACGTGATGAAACGAGCTCACTTAGAACTTTTGGTGCACTTTTAAGCAGAAAAGACTGCTCTAGACAAAACAACATTTCTGTCTAGTAAATATGCTCCTCGATGCGGCATTGCTCGATTACGTCAACATACCTTGTACGGCATTCATTGCGTGCCATTTGACGACCGTTTTACCGTGCTCACGAAGGCCAGGTATGAACGCTTCGAGCATTATATTCTCATCGGCTCTAATCACCGCATGGATTATGGAATGACAGGATTTGAGTGACTTTATTATGATATCATGAATACCCCTGATGACCTTGAAACATCCTCCCCGAAAAAGTCTCCCCATCTTCGCCGGCGTGTAGTTTAGAAACTGCAGAGGTCCTGTTCTGAAGAAGAGCAGGGCTGCCATCCCCCTGAAGCAGGACTCTGACCGTCAGGCTGCCAGAGACGGATCTTGGTGCCGCGGACAGTCTCGAGTGGGATCGTCTTGGACCGGCCGCAGATGCTGTACTCGCAGACGGACGGAAAGGCAGGGGCGCGGTAGCCCAGGTGGCACGAGTTGTCAGCCCACGTCCTGTCCTGCGCGGTACGACACACGGTACGACTCATGGTGCGATGCATGGTATGACACACGATGCGACTCACGGTACGACGCATGGTACGACGCGCGGTACGCCGCACGGTACGACGCACGGTATGACGCGCGGTACGACGTACGGGAGTTTCGGATTGGCTTTTGCAAATCGCAGCCGAGATAACTTGGTTGGATTTGACTCGATTGAGTCGTATTTTACCTGGATTACAGTCGTCCCCCATGCAGACGGGTGCATTTGCTCATCTACAGTACGTCAACTTTCCCACCGCCTGCGTCTCGACCGCACAACGCAAGCGATCCAGGCAAAGCACCAAAGTTCCACCGCACGCGGAGCTGCCACGGTTCTCCCGCGAATCAGAGGGCCATGTGCACCCCTCACAGCGCTCCTGTCTGATGATTTTGAAAAATGTTGCAAAAGTTTGCAGAATGTTGCAACAGTAGTTTACAGTGAGACGAAGCATCCTAGAGCTCCAGGACCACCTCCAGGGTTCTCGCAAAGCGCGAGATCCCCTTAAGAAGCAATAAAGAAAATGTTGCGGGATTGCAAAACATTGTTGCACGGCACACATCAGCTGCAATATTGCACACCCCTCGCCGGACGACAGCAGCCCCCGAGGTCTTCATCCTGATCGCCCACCTGCAGCATCTCAGCGCAGTCCTCTCTATGCCTGACGCCGTTGGGTTCGGTCGGCGGGTGCCACCTGGAGTACCACCTGCATTCCTCGCCGCTGTCGCATGCGAAATGCCCCTCATGGGCCCGGTCGCTGAAGCCGATCCAGAACGGGTACCGCCTCAGAAAACCTGCCCAGCCGCCGTGTGGTATCAGGTCAGCAGGTCGGCCCCTCCGCAGGTGGATACCTAATCTTTTCATTGCTGACGCAATAAACAATCGATCCTCACGTACAACCAGCTCACTTTCCCATGGTCGATACCCATCTAAAATCAGACGACCTGCAACCCAGTGGCGCAGCCCCTGAACTCATCCAACAGCGGAAACTTTCGACCCTGGTGGCCCAAGCCTACGCCTTGGCAAAGCCCCCGGAAGGATTTCGGAAGGCATGTGAACGAGACTTGACCCGCAAGCCGACGAAAGTCGAGCCGGTCCCCAATCACCGACCTCCGCCTCCCGCTCCTGCTCCCCGCCCCTCCCGGCCGGACACCGCAGCCTCACCCACCGAAAACCGGACACCCACACTCACAACACCCACCAACACAAATACCCACACCCACAACACCCACCAACACGAACGCCCACCGAACGCGAACACCCACACCCACAACACCCACCAACACGAACGCCCACCGAACCCCGGACACCCACACCCACAACGCCCACCAACACGAACATCCACACCCACAACACCCACCAACACGAACACCCACCGAACATTAACACCCACACTCACAACACCCATCAACACGAACACCCACCGAACACGAACACCCACACCCACAACACCCACCAACACGAACACCCACCGAACACGAAGTCATTCTCGCTCCCGCTTTTGATGGAGGTGAGGTAGGCGGTGGGCTCCAACTGGCGGCAGCGCCGGCTCGCCACGGTCCAACTGAGACGTGCCGTCACTGCCCGGTAGCATTGTCGACCCCAGCGGCGCCAGCCGGAGCGGCAGCGGCAGGTGCGCATCTTGCAGACTCCCCGCAGCGCGCCGGCCGTGTGCGAGATGGCAAACCGCCACCGGCCCGAAGGCTCCATCTGGCGACGGTCGGGGGTGCAGGACAAAGGTGGTTGTTGTTGCTGTTATTGAGGCTTTACGACGCACCCTCAGCTGCTGAGGCTGTAAGGCGTCGCCTGCCTCTCACCCTGGCAGGAAGGACAGACACCGCGGGGAATCGAACCCCCAGGAAAAAGGTGCCTTTCTGCAAGTTCTTGTTCAAAGTCCAAGGATGGACCAGCTGTCTGTCCAAAAATGTCAAATAAATCAGGTTGTTTAAAAACTTGAAGATTTTTTGAAGTATCAAACAACTTTTGCGTGGGGCCAATCATCCCAGGCACTGTTCGCATCGCTACGTTCCCTTACGCGTATCGAATGAAATGAAAGAACATGGTGGTGATAAAGTAACATGCTATTAGTTATGACCAGGCTTTCGTGAAAGCACCCACAATTCCCAATTCTTGTTGCTGTCCGCTAAGTTTGACTATCTCTAAGTTCGACGTCGGCAGCTTAGTCGAGTGGGGAGTGGTAACGAAACCTAACTTGGCAAGTAAAGAATATCACAGGTTTCTTGAACAAATGGACATAGATGCCCGTTCCATTGAAGCCCTTTGTTAATGAAACTTTCCCTTTTGTTTGAAAAATAACGTCATCTTGTACTGCTTATCACCACGTTGTTAATGTTTCAGGCTTAAACCATTTTAAAACAAGCAAAATTTCAAAATGACATGCATAATAGCTTGCGACACGACAGAACAACATTGACTGTCAAAAAATATTGCTCCTGTCCGTCCAATTTCCAAAGAAAACTGACAATTTTTTTTAGAATTTCAACAGGTTAGAATCGAATCGGCACCTCTAGTGCGGAAGGGAAACCTTCGCAGGTCTGATGGTTATCAGCTGGACATCTCACGGGGGGGGGGGGGGAGAGGGGCTGGAATATGCAAGGAAGATCGCCACCAGACGCTACTGACACCAGCGCTACGGTCCAAGGTAAAGCCCGATATGTTAATTTCTGGTCACTTGGCGTTTTTTATGTCATCTGATTCATCTTCCCATGCTGGATTCAGATATCTAAACCAAAAGTTGAAAATTGCACGAGCTTTTAGCTAAAAAAGAAATGGCTAAAAGCTTGTGCAAATTTGAACTTATGGTTTTAATAACAAAATGCGGCATGCGTAGACAAATCAGACGGCATAAAAACTCAAAACAGCCAAAGAATAACATATGGGGTTTTATCTCTTGACGGCAGAGCGCCGATGCCATTTTGGAGATTGGAGCCCAGGCCAGCAAGGTGTTGGGCTAGGGGAGTGGTGGGGGCGGGCGTATGGGCAACGGAGGTCACAGAAGGAAATCACGTGAAAATTATCACGGCGGACTCTCAGATATTCCTGAGAATGATAATGCGTGAGGACAGTCATAGCCAAACGTAACACGCACCAGGGCGCAATTAGCTGCCTACGGTGCGCTAGGCTGAATGCTACTAAATGCCACTTTGGCTGAATGCTACTAAATGCCACTAGGGCTGAATGCTACTAAATGCCACTAAGGCTGAATGCTACTAAATGCCACTAAGGCCGAATGCTACTTAATGCCACTAAGGCTGAATGCTACCGAATGCCACTGGGGCTGGATGCTACTAAATGCTACTAGAATTAGGTGCTAGGCTGAATGCGTTATTGAGTACCGAAACATTTTAGCAGCCATTCCACGTATACCCTGGCGCGTGACTATCATCTTCTCGCACGTTTTTGCGCTGACGCTCCTGTAATTAACCACGCGCATCACCATGGCGGCAACAGCAGGGCACCAACCCTGTCATGCCGTGGTCGCCATGATGACAACACATTGGTGATGCGCTGACCTGGACGACATCTTCTGCGCCATTGGTCTGGGCCTGCCCGCCGTCGAAGTTGCGGAAGCGCACCGCCGTGCCGTCGATCCAGGTCTGCAGATTGTTGACCGACCTCATGCCCAGCCAAACCGACCTCCGTCCGGCCAGCCCTGCGGCCATGGATCAAGCGTTACGCCGCTGTCTGGGAAAGTGCGCTAGATTATTTGAAAGCTCAGCAGTTTTTGCTCCGCCAAAATTGCTTCATTACTGGGGAATGCAACTCCCGAACATTTTTTAGGAGAAACTGAAAATTCGCATCATAGGGCGAATTTTCTCTCTGAGATAGCGGGGAATTAAAGCAGGGTCTTCTGATCGCAAACACAATGTTCTACCACCTGAGTTAGATTTCTAATCATGGGGGAGAATCATCAACACTCGACGAGTGCCACAGAGTTCACTGGCAGAAACGTGGCGTAAAACCTAACACCCCAGGCAAGGACGGTAGTCCAAGAAGCATCAAATTACTCTAGCGATTGAACAATCAGAATGAGATGTGAAGGTGCGTCATTCTCATATCCGGGCCTGACAAAGTCAGCGGGGTGCCTGCGTATCTTAACTGCGCGCGAAAGGGGAAAAAACAGCTATGGCTGTACACAGACGGAGTTGCGAAATAAACCCAAAGATGCGCCGGTCGCTGGGCCTGCGGTTACCAGGCTCGCTGAGCTGACCAACAGCACACATACGACGTAGTTCAAGGTTAGGTCAAGGGCAATCTACGATGCGGGAACGGGTCCGCATCGTACGGAATCCGAACAGTTGGTGGCCGGTCGAGAACGACAAGGTTTGGTGATGGTCATAAATGATGTTCAGTTTTCAGGCTTTCAGAGAGCGAAAGGAGACTAATTCGAAGCTTCAGATGCATAACACAGCTTTGGACAGCTTCACGACTTCTTAGGGATCCCTTCAGTCTCAATGCCTAGTATTCTGAAGAATCAGATCTAAAATCCACCCTGAAACCCACTTGCGAACGGCTTGGAGGCGCTTAAAGCCATCCCGCTTCTCCAAATGTTTTAATGAATGAAATGAATGAAACTGAATGAATGAAGCCTTGAAAGATGAATGTGGACTGAATGAATGTAGTGTCAATGAATGCAAAAATGAATTAAAGTAAAATGAGCGTCTGCTAAAATGGTTGAATGTGAAATGGACGGAAGTAAAATGGATGACTATAACATGAATGATGTAGAATAAACAAATCCAAAGAATGCTGTAATCCGTCCGAATGTTTAATATTATCCCGATGTCATTGTAGGGAAAAAATGACAAAAGTGTTTGCTTCTATGGCCATTGCCACTTCTGGCACCATTCATCTGTCCTTGATCCTATCACGAATTCTCTTGGCAGCATGCAATTTTTCAACTGCCTTTTCCTATATTATTGCTGGTTGTTGAGCACTTTGTGCAGCTTGAGCACCTTGTTGAGCACCTGGTGAGTGGTCAGTCACCAAAGGACAGTTCCCTGTGAGTGGTCAGTCACCACATGACAGTCGGTTGTGAGTGGTCAGACATCACATGACAGTTCCTTGTGAGTAGTCAGCCACCAAATGACGGTTAATGATGAACGGGTTCAGTTGACGGTTCAATGTTACGTCAGATGACCTGTCAGAACTTAACGAACAGCACTCCATCATACTGGATTTCTTGGCAGCCTCGTACATCCACTGACCGCGTGTGGCTTGCTCGCGTCACAAGAGCTCCGATAACTAAAAGCGTAAGTTCATGATTGTTCCAAAAAATTTGGGAACAAAAAAACACGAATATGCATTATTTTTCATGGCCTTAAAAGTGCCGGATTAGATAAAATTGATAGCATGCACCCAACGTTGACGCAACATGCGTCAGATGATGTTCAACCTACCCTTTATCATATTGTTTTCGGCCATGCTGGTGACGCTGGCGACGTCGGCGGACCTGTAGGAGGTCTTGCATTCGCCTCTGACACCATGCCAGGGCACGGTGGCTTGGGTGAGCCGGTAACAGAAGCCCTTCCACTCCCGCCACGCTTGGGGGCAGATCGCTGAGGCGGACGGTCATAGGTATGAGAGCACATGACTGCAGTAGATCACCACAGGTGAGCCGGAACACATCGCTGTAGGAGGTCATCACATGTGAGCCGGAGCATATGGCTGTGGTAGATCACCACAGGTGAGCTGGAACACATGGCTGTAGGAGGTCATCACATGCGAGCCGGAACATATGGCTGTAACAGGTCATCACATATGAGCCGGAACACATGGCTGTAGGAGGTCATCACATATGAGCCGGAACACATGGCTGTGGTAGATCGCCACAGGTGAGCCGGAACATATGGCTGTAGGAGGTCATCACATGTGAGCCGGAACATATGGCTGTGGTAGATCGCCACAGGTGAGCCGGAACACATGGCTGTAGGAGGTCATCACATATGAGCCGGAACACATGGCTGTGGTAGATCGCCACAGGTGAGCCGGAACACATGGCTGTAACAGGGCACCACAGGTGAGCCGGAGCACATGGATGCCGAGAGGTCATCATAAATGACATGGTCATCATAAATGACACATCTACAACAGGTGTTCCGATTTGAGGCGGGACACGAAGGAGATCAAGGAAAGCAGGTCAGGTCAGGTCAAGGTGAAGGTCAGGCGATCAGGTGAGGTACAAGGATGAGCCGGTATTGATGGCTGTAGCGGGCAAAGCCATGACTAGGCTTGATAATCACGGATGGTCGGGGACAGAAACATGGCTTTTGGACAGGTAATCACACGCACTTTGAACTGCATCGCTGCAACAGGTGACGATGCATAGCTTGAGGATGGTCGATTCCTCAATTATGCACAGATTGATGCAGCTGGGAACCGGACGGCTATTTGCCCCATGTGGCTGGGGCAAATAGTTGAATCAAGCATCGATGACAAGCCAAGGGAGCAGTCAAAAGAGGGAGAACCCCTGCCCGACGGAAGTCAATGTGGGAAACCCAAGTCGTGATCCCTGGGCGACAAGTGCTGCTTCTGGCGGTGGAGGTCTAACAACCTGCCAAGAATGTTGCGGTGACCTGGTCCGGCTGGGCAAGAGGGCCGGCCTGGTCCTGCAGCTGGGCTTCGGGGAACTTGAGATGCTTCTAGTTTAAACGCGGATATGAGACTGGACTTCGACGCCCCGACGCAGACGTACCGCGCTTGCTTTTAGCGGCAGAATCAGCAATTACCGAACATTGTTTTGAAATCTGAGCGCTAAAAGGACACCTGATCCATATCACAGATCTCCTGTTTTAGTGTCAGACGACTGGGCGCAGAGACGGATAAAGCCACAACCATTGATAATGAGCTCTCCAGAATTTGGCTCTTGTTCCAGCATGTCTTAAAAGGAAACTGCAATGGTTCCCACTCTAGAAACGTCAGCAATTGTGTACCCCTGCCAAAAATGTTAGCAGATATGTGCGCCTGCCCAATGGTGAAGACTCGTTTTAGAAGTTGGTGTGGAAAAGAGGACCGTAAACGTGATTACCTTCATTTATGATATTGCTTTGCTTGTCTGGCGCAGAAACAGGCGTGTTGCCTATTACGCCACCACTGCACATCTCGGCCGTGACCAATATACGTCTCAAAATTTTCGTTCTCCCCAGAACGTTTTTATAGCTATTTCATTCATTCTGGGCGAAAAGGCAAATGGCGAAAACAGGGCGTGTGTCCTGGCTGTTTGCCACCTCAGAGCCCTGGCCTGTGCGGTTCCACATTCCAGAAGCGCCGCGAACATCGGGGATCCCGCATAGCCAGGGGACCTTATGATCCCTATGGTAACCTCTCAACGTTCAAAGCGAGACACCGTTCAGGACCTTTAGTGATCCGAAACGGCGGAAGGGTGTCTACACGGGAAGGACTGCCAGCCAATGTCTTCCGCAGTATGTCTGTGAGCTATTTATATGCCATCTGCAATGCAACGTAATGAATTTTAACGAATTACCTGCCATCTGCGATGTAATTCCTTAAAATGCACGCCCGATACGTTATGAACTTCCAAAACTTTCAAAACTTTCAAGATAAGGCAAGACGTTCCTGTTACGTAACTCTGATGCTGTGACGCACTTGCAAAAACGTTTCGTTGTATTCAAAAGCGCTTTAGAGCCCTGTGGAAGGCAAATATAGATGTCCCAATAGTCAATTGACTCGCAAAAAACCAGGGGTCTGCAAATGATCTAGGAGTCACAATGGTCAAGAGCCTCCAAATGATGAAGGATAACCAAAGCCTGCGGCTCGAAGCGGTCAAGTAGTCCCTACACTTCACCGGGATGGAGAGCTGCTTGGCTCAGAGCAAGGCGCTGCGAACAGATGAGCGGTGCGAGGACCTTAATGGTCAAAGGAGGTAAATAATGATTAAGGTTGATGACAGGACACAGGAGAAAAGAGCAGTTCAGCTTCCAAAGCACGGCATTTTTCCCCGACTGAGGGCTCCAACAGCGATCAGCACGCAGTCACAGCTCCCGTCAGCCGTGGACCCCTCACCCTGACTCGCCGCCGCCGACCCGGACTTGGGACAGCGGCGAGACACCCACCTCGAGCGGTTGCCACCAACAGCACCAGTAGACCGCAGGATAGCAAGGGCCGCATGCTTCGAACGGTGGAGACCGCGCGCACTTAAGGCCCAGAGGGGAAATGGGCCACCGCGGGTCTGAGGAGGAGACGGAGGCGGTGCTTCAGGGCGGGGTGAGGATGAGGCTGTGAGGCCGCATCGCTCACCCCTGTTAGCCTTACCCGCTCACAGCGGTGAGCGGGTAAGGGTGTTATGCCCGAGGCAGACGGCATATCCCAAGTGAGCGTGCATGTTTGAACACCTAGGGCGAATCCAGGGCCTCAAAAGATTAGAGTTGAGGTAAAATGACACATATCTGTACTTTAAAAATAGGAGCATGGTTTACAACACTCCTTGACTTGAAAGGAGGCGAAACGCGACGCTTTTTAGAGCTTCAGAGCACCTTTTTGGACTTGGGCCTTCCCCAAGCCACCGACGTTACCCTTCCCCAAGCCACCGACGTTACCCTTCCCCCAAGCCAACGTCTAAGATAGGCTCTCGATGCAGGCTGCTTTCGGATGCCGGCGAAAGACCTTACGATTAGCTTCAGTTGGCTGAGGGCATCAGCATACTCACCACCTGATGTAGACGGCCATGCGGAACTCACATGCCAGCATGCAGACTTCAAATGTCCACGCGTCTGTCGGCACGACTATAACGAAGCCAATGGAGAGAGTCTTCAGCTGGCGCAAAAATAAAAGGACTAACTACGTGATGATTCTGTTAAGTTATGTAAATTAATATATTTTAGGCCACTGGGCGTGGAAAGGCTAGCGTTTTTGACGTTTTGCCTGGAGTTTGAAGAATAGAGAACTGGAAATTGCAAGTAACCAAGGCAACTCAATACTGAAGTGACCTAACAGAAGTTCACAAAACTTGTTCAAGGTTAACAAAACTAAAGTGAACTCAGCAGTGACGTTAACTAAGAGCCGACGGTATTTTCGTTTTTACACAAAAGGTCATTTATTTTCAAGAACGTGATGATCATTGCTGAGTGTCTCTTTCATGATGAGTCAGAGAGATGCTGCTGAGGTTGGGTAGAACTCGGCGCCCGAAAAAAGACGTCGTGTTAGTGTTAAGCTGGCCATTAGGGACTCCAACAAGGTTAATGATGTGGATCAGGCTGTTGTCGAACACCGCACGCTCTTAAGCTGTGATGCTGCGTTTTTACGGGAAAGTTTGCTGACGCTAGACGAAACACATCTGCCTCAATTGCAGGAGCAGCTGTACGCTCGCATCACGGGCGCCATAGCGGCTACGGCCGGAAGGACCATTACGAAGCGGAATGCTGGCAATGTCACCAAGCTTGCTGACAACTGCTGTGCTCTGGAGGTGTCTGTGGCACAGGGGCTGCTTCTAAAGGAAGCAGGCGTGGTTCTCAAACCCCATGATTGACGTGCTGGCAACATACCGCAAGTCCCTTCGTCACAAATGTGTGAGGAAGACCTTCCGTCACTGTCCTGACGGAATGCTAAGCTGACAATCTAGAGACCGTCCTAGCTATTGTCACTCGTCTGGATCGAGAGATAAGATCGCTGCGTAAATCAAACAATAAGCTCAAGACCACTGTAGCCTTACACCAAAAGCGTATCACTGGTGTAGAAGTGCGCGCAGCAAAGGGGATTGATCGCTTAGTGGATGGCGTTCCTGATTCCAATGCTGTCCGGACAACTGCATAGTTCGAACAGGCAGCAATAACAACAGCAGGATCGTCTAGTCTACGTGACGCTGCAGCACCGGCTGTACCAGCCCCTACACGAGGAGCCACAGCGCCGTCAGAACTGGCTGCTGCACAAGATCACGCAGTGTCAGCTAAACCATCCTCTGCCCAATCCGGGGCTGCACCAACTAGTTCTGCTGCAGAGCAGCTTGGCGTGGTGGCACCTGAGGCTGCTGCTGTGGTAGGTAGCACATTACCACCGGCTGCTGCTGTGGTAGGTGGCACATTACCACCAGCTGCTGCTGTGGTAGGTAGCACATTACCACAGGCTGATCCTGTGGCAGGTCGCACATTACCACCGGTTGCTGCTGTGGTAGGTCGCGCATTACCACCGGCTGATGCTGTGGCAGGTCGTGCATTACCACCGGGTGCTGCTGTGGTAGGTGGCACATTACCAGCGGTTGATGCTGTGGCAGGTCGCGCATTACCACCTGCTGCTGTTGTGGCAGGTGGCGCACTACCAATGAATGCATAAGCTGGGCCGCGCGCTGAGCAGTGTGCTTTAGTGGCTGTCGTGTCATCTCGTCGCCAGGACGAGCTGCTGGAAGGAGTCCTGATGGGTCGTCTCGGCCGCCTGTGAGAGCGCCACCTGACTGCACAACACCCGAGCGGGTTGCGTACAGAGATGATGATGATGATAATGATGATGCGTTAAGAGCTCTAACAGATGGTCTGCTAACATCGACTCCGCTGTTACCTGCTTCTATGGCTGGTTTGGCTCACCATGTAGAAGAGCACTTCAGAATTATCATAATTAATGTATTTAGATTACATTTAGATTATATATGTGTTATATATATATATATATATATATATATATATATATATATATATATATATATATATGTGTGTGTGTGTGTGTGTGTGTGTGTATATACATATATATAAGATACCAATGTATGAAGTGCTCTATATGTAGTAGAACACTTCACGGATAGAACTGGAAAGAAATAAAACTTTCGAATTTGAATAAATAGAGTAGAATAAATGTAATTTCCTCAATATAATTTTCAGGATCCGGTTCAGTCCAATCCGACTAGTCTAGATCCAATTCACCGGCCAATCCCGTTTTCCCAGATTTCTCTGAAATTCTTTGATATTCTGATATTTCTGATATAAATAGTGATACGCGTTTCGATAATGGCATGTACCCGAAATATCGCTCCATTTATCTCTCAATTATCCTGTTTATTCTGCGGGGCCACATGGCTATTTATTCTGTCTGGCCTGTTTGTGCATTGCTTGAAATTTAAAGTAATGTGTTTTATTAATTTAAGGGTCTTTTTATGAGTTTGTGTCCTCAATGGGCATTCGGAGGACTATTTTGTGATTATTTCCATTTAATTGGATTTCAGTCTGTTCAACCCATGTGAGCTGGAAAATTTGAAATTGCGCTCCGGTCCCAATCTATGTTTTGGTATAATTTTTTGATCCGGTCCAATCCGGCCCGTGGATTGATCCAATCCGGCCCGCGGATTGATCCAATCCGTGAGAAGGCGCTTGCTACTATGTGGCAAGTGCCATGGGCGTCGACAGAAGTCCTGTACGTGTCATAGTCCAACAGATGAAGCAGCGAGTGGGTGACCCTGGTACGGACAGTGACCCAGGTAACCCAGGTACAGAGAGCGAACGTGAACGAGGGAGTCCAGATAGCGTCTCAGTTGTAGACGCCCGTGTCGAACGGTGCCGTGATCAGCGGAAACCAGCCGTACCTCTACCTGCACCTGTATCTGTAATTGTACCTGTACCTGTACCTGTACCGGCCGTACTGACGCCCAGCCTGGCGCCCATTAGTCGACGGGCTGACGTTCCACCTGGTCCCCACCTGTGGTGGTTGCGGGTACCCACTCTGGTTTGCCTGTTGCGCGGCTCATCCCAGAGCAACTGCCTTTTTTCAGTGAAGGCATCCGCCCCGACAAATTGAGCACTGCTTGTTGTGTGAGCTCTGGCCCTTACCATTCGATCGCGCTGTACCAGTTTAACAGCAGAATTTGGTAGCGAAAGTTGAACGTGCCGCGATGCTCACACGGTCCGTCTATTACGTCTCTGACGTAATTTGACCTTTATCGCGGCCGCCGCCACCGTCCGCTGGCCATACCTGTCAAGGACAAATAGCGGGCACCTAAAATGACCCGAACTCACCCCGCCACGGGCGGGAGAATCTGGAGGCAGGCACTCCAACTAATTGAGTCATCGGCACGTAACAGCCAGCCATCCATGTCCGAATGGTCGAGAATTCAACGTATCATCGTCCTTGCGGGGCAGGACCAATCCTGTCCAGAGATTATCTAGAGATTCTAGACCCAGAGACTCTAACCTAGGGACTAGATTAAGAAATTGTGCCCAGAACGAGTCACGACAGACTCTCGACTCAACTCAACGTCGAGAGTGGAAACCGCAGAAACTACGACAGCATCACCAGCCGAGGCATAGGTGGCAGTGACGGTGGCCGTGGCATCGGCAGCATCACCAGCCGAGGCATAGGTGGCAGTGACGGTGGCCGTGGCATCGGCAGCATCACCAGCCGAGGCATAGGTGTGACGGTGACCGTGGCATCGGCAGCATCACCAGCCGAGGCATAGGTGTGACGGTGGCCGTGGCATTGGCAGCATCACCAGCCGAGGCATAGGTGTGACGGTGGCCGTGGCATCGGCAGCATCACCAGCCGAGGCATAGGTGGCAGTGACGGTGGCCGTGGCATCGGCAGCAACAGCAGCCGAGGCATAGGTGGCGGTGACGGTGGCCGTGGCATCGGCAGCAACACCAGCCGAGGCATAGGTGGCAGTGACGGTGGCCGTGGCATCGGCAGCATCACCAGCCGAGGCATAGGTGGCAGTGACGGTGGCCGTGGCATCGGCAGCATCACCAGCCGAGGCATAGGTGGCAGTGACGGTGGCCGTGGCATCGGCAGCAACAGCAGCCGAGGCATAGGTGGCGGTGACGGTGGCCGTGCCATCTGCAGGAACAGCAGCCGCATTCAACGTGGAGGCAGCAGCAGCAGCAGCAACAACAGCAGTCACCATCGTCGCCTTCGTCATGAATAATGTAGCATGTGGCGTAGAGGACTTTCCGAATTTCAAGCGAGAAGACTGAAATTAAACTATGGCGGAGTTAGCTCCAGTAAAATAAGTGCACATAAGGTGCATCAAATCAATACAAATGGTCCTCGAACAACCAGAGGTAAAACCATCACTCAGGACGTCAAACACTGGAAGATCATGCGATACTATAAACAAAATAACATCGCAGGCGCCGGCGTTTTTGCAGACCACTCATCACGCACAAGCACGGCTACGGCTCGGTCTCTTACATTTGTATTTGACATCAGTTGACACTCAACATGCGTATGTACACACGTGGCTATTACGTTTTTTTATTGGCGTCATTCGTCTGAGAGATAAAACAGTACGTCAGTTAACACCGGAAAATGAAGGATAAAAAGCGCATCAAGGCATGCATACATGAACAGTATGAGACAGCCGTGCAGCAAAAATGGACCCAGCAGCACGCTTAAAACTTGTTGAATCCAGTCGTCCAACATCCACAGGCAACTCATTAATGGGAGACGCCGCTCGGTATACAAAAGACCGCTGTCCTGCCGCCGTGCACACCGCCGGGGGCGCAGGTCATGATCCATGCGGGTAGTTCGGTCACTGGTCCGCGCGTCAGCGTGTGTTTGAAGCAAACAGGCAGGACCTGCAGGCTCACCTCGCTCACGGGTTTTGTGCGCAGCGATGACATTTTGTACTTTTGGCGACATTTGGCGAGGCGTGGCAAAGTGCTGTCTATCCCGCGCGTCATACGCGTGGTCGTACTTTCAGAGGCCGGTAGCTATTCTAGTAGCGAGGTGAAGTACTTAAAGCAGCCCGGCATCGTTAACAGCTGACCCCTGGCTACGAACTGGAATGCAATATCGCACGACCGAAATGACTAGACTCTGCACCATGGTCCGCAGCACTCGTCGCGGGAGGAAATGTCTCAAGTCGTGGAGGCCGCTCAGGACGTCGATGCACTTTTTCACTTCACCACTGACGTGTGTGTCCCAGCTCAGGTGGCGGCCATATAGCACACTTAAGTCTGTCACGGTCAGGCTCTCCGAACGGCCTCCCCGTACGCTCACGGGAAACGTCCGCGGGTGTTCTATCTGGTGCCAATGAGGAGTTTGGTTTTGGAAGCGTTGAACCTGAGGTCATGGGCATGAAACCATGGGCATGGGCATGCCATGGAACCAGGCCACGGGCATGGGAATGCCAGGGAGGACATGGTGGTTTCCATGCTTTGGATGAGGCAAGGAAGGTTGTATTTAACATCGGATATGAGGATTGGGTGCCGTCAGCGTACCGGGTTACTTACATGAGCGTCTGGCGCGTGCGGGCTGAGGTTGGCGAAGAATGGGAATAAAAGAGAACCAGGGGCCGATCCCTGGAAGACTCCCATGGCATTATAAGACTCCCTTACTTGTAAACCACTCTGTCGCCAGAAGAAGAAGGGATGCAGAATAGATCCAAGAGACAAAGGAGCGAAGGATGACCACGATTCATTTTATAAAGGTGCGGTCGGTCACGGTGAGCAGAGCAGTCTCAGCGGAATGGCGGGACGGAAAACGTGCTGGGATGAGGGCCAAAGATAGTTGTCGAGCATGGAGGCGAACACCTGGCGCTGCACCACACGCTCGCCAATCTTGACCATAATAGGAATGATGAAAACAGGACGGTAATTGGAGACCAGGGCTGCATTGCCTGATTTGAAAATAGGATGAATCAGGAAGTGCTTTGAGAAATCAGGAAAACTGCGGGGGGTGAGGCGAGTGTTGATAACATGGAGAAGGATAGGGCCGATGACGTCAAAACAGAGGAGCAGGATACGGATACAAGCGTCATCGGGCCCACACGCCCCAGAACGCGTAATGGGGGACACATGACCTACTGCAGCCCCCGCCCAAAGGGTCGTGCCAGTCACCCGAAAACCGCAAGCGTCCACCCCTGGCTGGCGACATGGGACGTTAGGTGCCTGTCCGAGATCGGCCAGGTGGGCTGCAACATTGAGGCCGACATTGAAGAAATAAGGATTCACCTCGCCCGGGGTCGCGGCTGGGAGATTTTCAGCACCGCTCTTTTTCCCCGCTAACAGCGGGCGGATAATACGGTACAGAGAACTGCCCCCCCCCCCCCCCCAACCCGCGGTCTCTCCTCAATATCCGTCCGGCAGTTACGTCTGATCTCCGACCTCACCCTCCGGTCCAGTTCGCGGAAAGCCGGCGATCACTCCTCGTGACGTACTACGCGACTCCGCTGTGCCATTAGGTCAGGGGTTACCGGGGTGACAGCTGGTGCGCCTGAATTCTTCAATGACATTAGTCTGATCAGGGCGCGTTTGTCAATGATTGGAAGAAAAAGGGCAAGCAAATGGGACCACATAGCAGCGACTAAAGAACGCCTAAAAACACCGGATCAGTCGACGTGGTAAAAATCACGACGCAAACATGGTCAATCCGTTTCAAGAGCCCAGTATGGATACAGGATGACTTAACACGACACTTGAGCAAAACTAAGGACGCGCGAACAAAAGGATGAGGGCTGGAAGCACCAGGGGCAGAAAGCTTCGATTTACCGGATATGATCAGTGACAAAATCTGACCCTTTTGCGACCCAGTTGGTGACAAAACTGCAAAACCGAAAACAAATTTCAACAGACAGGACCACATTACAACAGATTATCCCAGCTCGACGCAACTCAAGCATTATTATTGGTCTGTGCTCGCTAACGCTTGCAGCGTGAGCACATGTCGAAACATTGACGTTTCGACATGTGCTCACGCTTTTTCACGCAAACGTTTCGGTGTATGAGCCAGTTGACCCATAAAATCCCGTCAAACATAGAAGCTTTAATCAGGACACTAAGCAACTGTCAGAAGCATACTACAAACTATACTATATCGGTGTTGACGTCACAGATCAGTGGTGACACAGCGCTTCTCCAACGCCCCTCAGATCAGCGCTTTTCATATGTTTTTCAGCCAAGATTCACTTCACATACTAAACAGCATAAAATACCAAATAACTAGGCTTATTACTAGTCGTAAGAGTCGTGGCTGGCCGCAGCATCTTGCGACGAGCGTGATCAGTTTGCTATGCAGCGTTTTAAAGCGGCGTGCCATTTGAGACAGATGGGCTTGATTGCTCGCTACGCTGTGATGCGGTGGGTTCAGTGCGAGGATGTGGGCTGCTGTTGGTTGCGTTTATGTCGTGAGAAGCTGACTGGCTAGAAGAACGTAGCTAATCAGTTTTCGTCGCCGTTTTCGTCAGTTTTCGTCGTCGACGTTCGTTTCGTTCGTCGTCGAAAACGTCAGTTTTCAAGGTAATAACATTAAAAAGCCCTGCCAATCTAGGATTGCTGTTTGTGGACACCTGAGCTTCAGAGGTAAATGGATGTCGTTGAAGCGACACATGCTAAGGATTCATCCGGGGCTTCCTGCTGCTGAGAGGAACAGCGGCATTGAGGTAGAAGGCCGAGCATCGCTGGTGTAGGCCTCCCACATTGTTCGTTGCTCCTCAGACTTGGCGCATTGATCGGTGAACAGGGATGAAATAAGACGCTTTTAGTTGTCATCATATTTCATCTGAAGCTAAATGAAGGTGCTAGATATGTTCAAAAATGTTGTTTGCATCTGTCGATTAAACGGGTTTCGCTGTAAATAATTGGGATCACTTGAGGAAGTCCGAGTTCTGCACCCGCAATAATTATGCCAAAACGATGAATTTCGCCAGCGCTTCCAATAGCGTCAGTAGCGATTGTACAATAGCGTCACGAGAGCAAGTGATATCGTTTCAGGTACCTGTAAAGCTGTGCTATTGGTAAATGTAGGGCCACAGAAATGCAGTTTTGCAAAGGTGTGGGGTTGAGGGATGGAAGGGGAGGGGAGGAGGGTGCAAGAAGGAAAAAAAATGGCTGAGCCTGCCTCTAAAGTGTACTTAAAACAGTTTTCTCTCCAGATTTGACGCAATTTTACGCAGCTGGCAGTTGCTGCGTAGTTCCTCAAAATCAGTTTGGGGGGCTGAGCTCCCAAATTATTATAAGTGAAAAATAATTGATATAGATAATAGCTAAAAAAGGGAACTGCATTCCTGGTTAGGAGGCATGATTCCGCCCCCCCCCCCCCCCCCACGCCGAACTGAATAGAAAACTACATACCTTTAGGCTGGCTTAAGTATGTCTTTATCTGATAATGCTGTTAGCATAGTCTCAACCTTCACCGAGTGTTTGATCTCCAGCATATAAAAGTTTAGTGTAAATGAACTCCTGAAACGAAAATGTTTGATGGTCACGCCGCACTGCATTCAGTTTGTGTTTGTCTTTTGTGGTTTATTGCATTTAGAGATATGTTGCAACGGCTGCTGAAAGGTTTGACCCCAGGTGACAATTCAGACGGTTCCAAATTTCGTCTATGACAGAAAAGGCACCTTTTCACCTCCGGAAAACGCAGCTCCAACACGCTGAACGACGTTATCTCAGTCAGAAACGACCACATTTAAAAGCGACCCGGAAGAAAATAGGCTCTCTGACAAATCGGTGCAGATGAAACGATTGCGGTATCCCATTTAACCGGTCCTTTGCAACGTTTCCAGCAGGGTCCAGTAAATCACAATTTCAATCCTCCATGATGACGATCGGCCTGGGGTACTGTAGAAGTGCTCGCTGGTATAGCCGCTCCAATGCGTGAAGGCCGCCACGGCGCGGTGAGGGGGCCGGCAGACTGTAGCCACAGTGAAATGCGGACCGGATTCCGATCTGACACGCAGCCAGAGGAACTCCGACAGTCCAGGCATTGTCGCTCACTTCAGCCGACAGTGCAGACACTGTCGCTGACTTCAGCCGACAGTGTGGACACTGTCGCGGATGCCGACTGGGTGACGACAGTAGCTTTATGGCATTCACGGCTCAAGATCACCACACCTCCACAGCCGACCTCTCCTGGCCGGTTGTGAGCTCCCAGCTGAAGCGTTGCCACCACCACGTGACTCGCCGCTTCACCTGTTGGACTATAGCGCGTGCAGGACGCTTGCCGACCTCCTCGGCTATGAATCTCTCCACACGGTGCGGCGCATAGCCGGGGGCTGTGGCCAGCCCGGACGCAGCGGCGGATCGAGGCTACGTCTCGATAATCACGCAAGAGTCGCAATGCAGCCGGTTTCGATGGTCATGCTGCGGTGGAACCATCTTCGGCAGCTGGGGGTGGATGTTAATCACTCCCAACAGCGGGTTCCGACGACGACCGTCCGGAGAAAAGCGTCGCCACGTCCGCAGCCTGCTGGCTGCATGCCTGGCGGCAATTGCACGATTGGTGTGGCTGCAGCCTGCAGCCCCGCGCCGCGGCGCAGAGGCTACGGACTGCAGCCCGCGCCGCGGCGCAGAGGCTACAGCCTGCAACCACGCCTCGGCGCAGAAGCTGCAGGGCCGGTCGCCCCTGCAGCCTGGGCGCCTGGTGCCGGCACCGCGCCTGCCATCGGGACGCGTGGAGTTTTGCGCGCGCGCGGCCTGCAGGACCGGGTCATGGCATCAATTTTGGGGCCGTGCGGGACCGGCGGGGTTCCGCCGGCGCGTACAAACACGCTCCATTGGCAAACCACAGGAAACACATTGCAAAAAATGGCCAAAAACTGCTGGAAAGTATGTTAAGACTCGGTTCGTAGCTCGGCAACGGGGAACGCAGTGAAACGGGGTAAGTGCACTTCTACTCGAAAAAGAACAGTCGTGAACTCAGAAGTGCGAATGGATGAGGTTAGCCTCACACGCGAGCTCGAGTGTAAACAAGAGATTTTTCGATTTGGGGGCATTTTTCATGGTTCATGGCAGATTTCGGTGGCCCGCGCGGGTTACCTGACACCGAGCAACACCGAGTGACACCGAGTGAGCCGTACAGGTGCGTGCACCGTCTACAAATCGTCAAATCAGTCAAACGTTGTCAGACCAATACGCCAGAAATCGGCGTTTAGGACAGCCAATACTAAGCTTTTTCGAAAATGCAACACAATCTCGAGCGCATGACGCAGCTGCCAAACCAAGCATGCTGGACCGGTGAGAATAAAACGGAAATAAAGACCAATTCTCGTTGATCAATACCCACCAAAATATGCGCGTTACCAATACGTTGAAAGCAGTCGTCCAACACACGAGTCCCTGCGAAATTACCTGCTTTTGTCAGTGGAGAATTTGCCATCCTACTACCAACTACATATTAGCGGTTTTTACGATGGGTTAATGTGCGATGGGCGTGATCTGTATAACCTCACACCTGTAAACTAGAGAAGAGTGCGCAAATTATATTTTTCCTCGGAGGGGCTACGGAAAAGATATAATGCACACGGCCAGGAAGACCCTACACTGCAAAGCGAAGCTGGATTTCGATAATATAGTATAAATGGTCTTATTCCCTAGGAGAAAAACCAGGAGAATTGAGATATAGATGTGTTGATATTTCGGCAACATGCCTTCATCGAAACAAAAAGCAAACGTGAATTCGATAGAAGTGAATCCACTTCTGCTATTCGCTTTGATAAAGGTGCGTTGCCGAAATATCAACGCACTTATGTGTAAATTTTCCTTGTTTTTCCAGGGGAATAAAATTATCCCTACTGTTATATATGCGCATAATGCTCTTCCCAGGTGCACTGTCTGCACATTGTCACTGTCAGAAGTGACGGGCTATTGAAAGGGCGAGCATCCACCGAGGGAGGCTTCCCCACCATTCATCCCTACACTCTGGCCGTCCACGATACGACACAACACACCCCACAGCTGAGTACCGCAGGGTACACCGTACAGCAAAGCACAGCACATCACCGAAAAGTACAGTGCAGTACATCATAGCACCGCACAGCACAGCTCAGCACCGCAAAGCAGAGCACAGCACATCACGGCTCAGGACGGCTTAACACACCCCAGCACAGCACAACATAGCAAACAGCGCAGCATAACGCGCGACACCGCATGACACAGCACAGCACAGCACGGCAAACGGCGCAGCATAACGTGCAACACTGCCGAACGCAGCAAAGCACAGCACAGCACAGCGCACAGCGCAGTCATCACCCTCCCCTCGCCTGAGCACCGCACGGAAACCGAGGACGCACCGGGCCGCGGCCTGCGGGGGTTGAATGAACTTCTGTCGTCCCGCACTATGACCGCTCGCGCTCACACGGAGCGGCCGCTTCCCAGCCGCGAAGCCTCCGGCGCCGCGCGCGCACCGCTGCCACTGCGCGCGTCGGGCACCTCCAGTCAGAAGATAGCGCGCGTGGTGGGAGCAGCGCGGAAAAAGAGCGAGCCGGTACTTTTTGCGGGGGAAGGTGTTGTGATAACGCGTCGGTGACGCGGCGGTGATGTAATGCAGTGCCGTAAAAACGGAGGATCAAGCCGTCATAGTCGACATGTGTAGTTGTTTTGATCGTGTGTGAAAATCGTGGCGTCCAGCGTGGTGGCGACATGTGGCCCTCAAGACATTGGTCACGGGAGGTGCGGAAGAAGGCTCTGCTGGCTGTTCTGTGCTGCTGTGCTCTCCTGGGCATCTTGTACTTGCGCTCTGCGGTCTCCCCGAAAGAGGAGCAGAGCCACTGGAGGCAGCGGAAGGTTGAGTCGATGAGGTCGCGGCTGGAACCGGTGGCGGCGAGTCGGAGCACAGGACCCAGTAATGATGGCGCATTCTCAGAGAGGTTAGAAACAATGCATGGCGTGGTGTGGTAGAGACTTAAAAACACACTGCATGGTCTCTGACCCTTGCCTGAACAGTACGTTGATGTGAGCGCAAACGAGGGTTTTGGTGTCACCACTGCCTTTGATCGCTGCGTGTCACTTAAAGGTCATTCGTTGAGGTCATTTGTTAAAACCCATCACTGGCTTGGTCCCGTGACATTAGCTCTGCACAACAGGTGCATACTAATTCTTTGTTTAAAAAAGAAGCCAATTTTCCGCACCTTCCTCGTTCCACAGTGTCGCGTTTTTATGTATGTGAACTCAGAAAACTATTCGAGAAACAACGCTATTTGCTCCGTTGATTCTCCGCCAGCTAAAGAGATTGCGCGTTTTTTGGCTGTAAAAATATGCGTAGTTCCATACACAGGTAAGTGAAATAATTCCAGTGGCAATGCAACTGTCCTTGAGCAGATTCCATAGGCACGAAATAACGTTATAAATGCGCGTTCAAGCCAACACGGACTTTCTGCATAATTAGCTTGGGCAGAGCTGTCAATCTTCAAGATGTCAGAACAAATAGGCCGTTTTTAGCATCTAACATGTCAAGATCTAGCGGTGTTTTATCGTGTTGCTAAGATATGCCGAACATAAGCGTTAAATCGTTGGATACGTAAAAGACGTAAAGTGCTCTCAAGCGGATGGAGATTGCGGTCCGTACGTTGACATTGGACATGATCCTTAAATTTAGCTCTTCATTTTCTGTTACTATCGTGATTAATTTTGTTATGAGGGGGGAGGGGTGAACAGGAAATAGGCAAACCTATCACCCTATAAACTGCTTCTCCACGAATTTGACCCGGATCCTGCCTAAATCTGGCAGCTGGAGCCTAGTGTTCTGATACTCGACGACTCGGGTAGCAGGGATGTTTATATTTTTTGTGTTATAACAACGCGGCTTTGGGTTCACTGCCTGTGGCTCCTCCCTTTGCTCAAAATCGGCCAATCAGCATCGAGCCGGGTGGCTATCGAACCGGTATCTATGCGCCTCAGGCTTGAGAAATGGGCTGAGTAGGTCACATGTCTGGGTGGGAGTCAAAGGGCGACAGATTAGCGCCAACGAATTGCGTGCGGGGACTGCCGGAAGGCCAGGATTCTGGTAGCATTAATTTATATGCGCATCCTGGACATCCGACCGCATGAATTTTGGACCGCTGCTGGAGCCCCTCAACTGAACGATAACTACACCCCTGAACTGCGAGGACGCGCGCCAACAAACGGCTGGTCGGTGCTGCATGCGCTTTACCAAACTCCATATGGGCCTAGGCTGATGTCTACGTGTCCGCCGATAGGTGTCTAACACCAGTCGCCATCTCTCGCGTCGCGCCCCGGGAACTTCAACGTCTGAAATGGACCGTATCACCAAACCTCGCGATCAATTCAACCGTCTGTGGTCGGATCACGCCGAGACAATTCCCGCTGCACGACTGTACTGGGGCTTTCGCGCCAATTACGGTAAACGCAACCGACTGAACCACGTTTACGTAACAGACTTTGGCCCATTGGGCACAGACGGTGGCAGGTTCCTAACCCATCCGCGGGTGTGGCCAGATCTACAAGTCATGATCTACAAGTCAAGTCATGATCTACAAGTCATGCAACTGCCTGGGCGGTTTTGAAACCGCGAGCGGCCATCAGCGACCTCCACGTTCCCTGCATGAATATTTCGCATAGACCAGTATTGCTCGGTCATAAAAAGCATGACGAAAGAGCATTTGTGAGGCACAGGCCGCCTAGTGCTGCGGAACATGGTGAGAATTATTCGAGCGGCGATGGCTTCATCGGAGAAAGGTCGCAGTCATTGGTATGTCAGCATAATACGACCCACGGGAAAGCCACGGCCAATGTGTGGTGGTCGATACCGCAGGACGAAAGGTGGCTTTAACGGCGTTGTACGCTCCCAGAAATTCACATGACCTACATCGTGAGCCCACCTCGAAGAACGTCCAGTGGCGTATGACCGGATGAGGACGGGGCGAGGAGGTCAATAGTGTCCCCATCTTCAGCGACATCTAACTTCGTCACTGACTCCGCACGGCAAATTCGACGAAGAGCGTGTCCATCCCAGGCTGCTGGGCCCGGCTCGGCCAGGGTCGGCGGCGCCTCCCGTCGAGCCGGCTCTGGCGTCGCCCCTGCCGCAGCCCTTTGCCCTGCGGCTGGACGTCTGTGGTAACGGCTCGACACGCGCGGCTGTCGCCGCCCGGCGCCGGGACGGCCGGGGAGGGTGGAGATCCCAGGGTGGCCGGGGAGGACGGGAGGTCGGGACTCCGGAGAGTCCGAGGAGTCCAGGGGGCCCGGAAGCACGGGAGCCCGGGTAGGACGGACGGGGAGCTCTGGAAGACCAGGGAGACCGGGGAGACGAGAGAGACCGGGGAGACCGGGGGGGCCGGGGAGACCGGGGAGACCGGGGAGACCGGGGAGACCGGGGAGACCGGGGAGACGAGAGAGACCGGGGAGACTGGGGAGGCTGTAGACACGGGGGAGACCGGGGGAGACGAGAGAGACCGTGGAGACCGGGGAGACCGGGGAGACGAGATAGACCCTGGAGACCGGGAGAGGAGACCAGGAGAGGGGGCGAGCGGCTCTCGGGATGGGTGCACGAGGTCCCGCTAGCGGTGGTGGGGACGGGTGTCCCGCGAACAGGAGAGACACGCCCGGCACCCGTGCGTGGATCTGTGGGGCAAAGATGGTCAGCAGGTCAACCACTGGTGTTGGTCAGCGACAGGCCAGAAGGCAAGGTCGGGGATGGGTGATGACTGGATGGGATGGTGATGATATAGGCGATGACTGGATAGGATGGTGATGAGATGGGTGATGAGTCAGCAGTTAGATCGCCGACAAAAGTTAGTGTGTAAGACTGCGGGAGGGTTCATGTTTCGGGGCGGAAAAGCTACATGGCTTATAGTAATTCCTTGGGAAACCTCCTAGTATGAGTAACGTGGTTTCTGTCTTTGGAAGTGGCCCCGAACTGTCAACAGATACCTACAGATGAGTGACAACAACACTAAGATGCCCGGATGTCGATTTGCATTCTTGTGTGAGGGCCCTGGCCCCCATTGTTGAGTGTCTCCCCCCCCCGCCGATGTTGGTTTGGCCCTACAAGGTTTTGGGCTGGAATGCTGCAAAAAGCGTAGTTAAAAGATGACGATCACACAAAGACTATCTTCTTCGGTCTTACTGGGTAGTGGCGCCGGCACGGAGGATATTCCGCACTTGAGGATGCGGTGTGGCTTGAAGCCCGTTACCTCAAATTATTCCCTCAAATAACGGGAAACCTTAAATCGTGGGGGTCAAACTTTTTAGGTATGACGTGTTTTGTGTCAGTCTAACATAACCCCAGACACTTATTCCCGCACGCTAAATATGATACTGACGCCACTGATTCACTGATCTCGAGGAGACGTATGCCGTGAGTCGTTTTGTCCGCTGCTCACTAAAGGCTGTAAACCTAGGGTTGTTTTTTGCTTGGAATCCGACTTGCGTAAATTGTTCAGTGCATATGTGAGGAAGATTATTCACAAAGATAAGGCAGGAGTAAAAGCCTTATTTCTCGGAGAAAACCAGGAGAATGGGAATGAAGATGGGTTGAATTTCGGTGACGTGCCAGAAGTGAATTCACTTCTGCTATTGTTTCGATAAAGGCATGTCGCCGAAACATGAACCCATCTATATCTCTATTCTCCTGGTTCTCTCCGAGGAATAAGGCTAATACTACTGTCATATCTATGTGAGATCCGACTTTCTTTACTGTCTCATGAGGAAATAAAAGCAGCTGACGAAATTCTACTTTTGGTGCGTCATCATTGCTTCAGACTTCAGCTCCAGCTATGGAATAAGTGTACAATACAAATACAGCAGGAACCAAAATGTTACTGGGAAATATCAAAATAGGATTCCCTGCTGAAAACAATTGCTTGTACTCGGAATAATCTTCCCATTATTGTAATAAAAGTTTAACGGACCCATTCTGCCTCACCCCTTATCGAAACAGCACAAAAGGAACTTTAACGTGTCGCGTAATGACTGCCGACTCTCGGCGCCCTGTGATCAGGCTGATGCTCTCAAGTCAGCAGCCAAATGACCCTCTTCGGCGAGCCATGTACGGACGCTTGTCCTGCACGGCGAACCTTCCACCGCCCGTTCCACCACAGCGCGAATGCGGTCAGCATAACTTTAGTTGATCTCAGCTCTACCGCAGTTGGGATTCGGCAATGTGGATTGTCTTCGCGGCAACACGCAACACGCAACAACACGCAACAACACGCAACAACACGCGGCAACACGCAACACGCAACAACACGTGGCAAGCGCAACTTCGCGGTTTTTACGAGCATGTTGTGCGTTGCAGCCAACGGGTTCACAGAAAGGAAAAGCCTATTAGCTGCCACATTGGTAAATTTTTCCCAAATGTATCGCCTGTGACCTAGAAATAGTTATGAACGGCTTAACTCGGATGAATGCATGCCACCATTTAAAGGAGCGTTGTTTTTGCTGTTATACATCACTGCACCTATTCTACCCTACGCTTTTTGCGGCAAAAATGCCGGAAATTTTAGTTTCATCTAAAATCCTTTTGTCATCATGTTTTTTAAAGTGTTTGGCCGCATTTTGTTACGATTTCTAGGGAATTCACAGATTTGGGTTTGAATGAAACTTTCAGACTGCAAAGGAGATGTGCATCTTGTGTGGAACAAAAATGTTCTCATTTGATAGCGCGCAATCGTACGCATTTAAGTGAAAATTATCTTGTAGGATGACCTGTTACTTCTTCGCAACGCTGAGGGATAGCTAGCCTACATGAAACTGAAATGTCCTATAAAATGTGACATACATTCATTTCATGGACACTTACGCACGTCTCAGACGCACGACAAGTTAGCACGCGCAAGGGTAACCGTTTAATTGCGACACGCCCAGGAGAGTGGGGTTCAGTTTGACCCCTGGGATGGAATAGAACTAGAAA